ATACAACTTTAATATTAAAAGTCTTAAGAAGAGAAGGCATATCAACCAAGCTTTCATGGTAAGGGAGAACCAACATATTTTTAGTTGAATAAGGCTGGTTGTCCCTTTTTGGATTGTAAAAAGTATTTCTAGCATCTTTAAAAGATTTATCAATTACATTTCTTGGGTATTTCAAATCATTACCTATTTCATAAATTTTGGATATTTCCTCATCTATGAGTTCATAGATGAGGAAATGGGTAGTAGATTGGCAGACAGCAACCGCCCAGGGAGGTACTACCGTCCTGCCAAGTGAGTGTAAAACTAAAGCCTGTAATTGTTTTACATGATGGTAGGATTGCTGGTGTCCATTTTTCTGTCTCATAAATATGCAAGGTTTCAGGTACGTCTTGCTACTCTACTTACACTTAGGTCACACTACACATACATGTACAAGCATATAAATATACACACATCCCTCTGGGTTTTCTTCTATTTTCTTTCTAGTTCTTATTCTTGTTTATTTCCTCCTATCTCCATGGGGAAGTGGAACAGAATTCTTCCTCCGTAAGCCATGCGTGTCGTAAGAGGCGACCGAAATGCCGGGAGCAAGGGGCTGGTAACCCCTTCTCCTGCATATATTACTAAATTTGAAAGGAGAAACTTTCGGTTTTCCTTTTGGGCCACCCCACCTCGGTGGGATACGGCCGGTGTGTTGAAAGATATATATATATATATATTATATATATATATATATATATATATATAATATATATATATATATATATATATATATATATTAATAAACAAAATACATTTACAGAAAAAAACATAAACATGAATACAATGGCACAATGTATCAAAGATGATGAATTTCCTCCAGCTCCTCCGAGGCTGGACGTGAGCCAAGTATGCAGCAAGCATTTCCCCTCTGGATGGCGACGCTGAGGCGCTGGAACATGAAAGTGGCTGCCCTTGGGTCCCTGGTGGTGTCGATGAGTCTGGAACCCAATTCTTTAAGGAAACGTGTGGCATTTTTTCCCATGATCCCAAGGTCTCTGATCCCACTGGGACAAATTGATACTGTTGGCTAATGTCCCTGTACTTGCTGATCTTGTACTCCTCCCTGTGGTCAGCAGCTCCTCCCTGTCGCCCCACACTGTGATGGATATAGGTGTCAGCCAGTGTGGACACACAGGTATAGTCCCATGCTAAGAGCTTGCCATTCTTCCAAGGATAGATGGTGATCCCGTCGGGGCGGTTTGCTGGGTTGTGGGTATTGTTTGCTGCAAGTGATCGTGGCTCCCTCTCGGCAGGGCATCCAGCTGTAGCAAGGGTTCTCTTAATGATGTCGTTGACCTCATTGTGTCTTGCATGCCAGCCCTTGGTTTTGGAACAGTTAAGACCATGTAGACCGTATTGGTCTGCTTGCACTTCGCCGTAAATACACATATATTCTGTGTGAATTGGGGCAGCAAGGCGCAGAGCCACTGCAATACGGAGGGTCTTAGGGTCGAGTCGCGTTCCCATTGCCGATATGGGAACTGTTTGGAGGAAGTCCCCGGAGTGAGGTGCACTCACAGCCTGGAGACGGGCAATCTCCCTATCTGATGTTGCAGCCCTGAGCATGTTGGCAAGCACCTTTTCAGCAATTGGGCTTATCCAGCTTGACTGTTTGTGAGCCAGTGCTGCACTAGGGTTTGGTGCTGGAGCAGCAAGAGTCTCCCATTCGGTGATGGCACTGACATAGCTAGGGTCTTCTATTCCTGCTGAGTCACTGAGGGTGTCAGGAAGAATTTGTCTTATCAACTCGTTTGATGCAATGGAAGAGGATAGGAAAGCTGGTAGAGCAATCTGGGAGGATCTGCGTACTCCTAGCCCTCCAAGCCTGACCGGAAGTGAGGCTTGCAACCACTGTCCATCGTCAAGGGAAAGATTCAATACACTCTCTAGCATGGCCTTCAGGAGAGAGTCATATTCCCTTTAGTTTTGGACTGCTGAAGGCTGGGGAGCATCTCAGAAAATAGGTAAGTTTTGGGGTTGACAGGCACCTGGTGAGTAGGTAGAAGGCATCGTGTGTATCAATGTCTTTCATCCTGCTTTCCATCGTCCGGAGGTCTGAGACTTTTTTTCCTAGGACCAGATCGATGGCATTGGACCCAAGAGGAGCACCGAGGAGAGTGCTATTGGCTGGATCAATGGCTCGTGCTCCTGGTAAAACGGTACTAATATTCTGGATCAACTGTTGATTGGTAGAAACTATTTCACATTTGGTGGGGTTTAAAGAAAGGCCAAGGCTTTCTCCCATGTCTTTAATTTTACTGATGTCCTCCAGGAGAGATTCTGTTGTGCCAGCTAGGGTACCGTCGTCCAGGAACCAGATATTGAGCTCGCTGGAGAGTGCCTCCGTGACTTCCTTGATGACCAAACAAAACAGAAAGGGGGCGAGAGGGTCCCCCTGTTGCACGCCCTCACACGAGTCAATTTCATGGTCCCCAAACAATAGTTTGGAAGTCACACTATAACACGATTCTATGAAGGGATAAAGGGAAGGGAAGTTTCTATAAACTGCTTGGAGAGCAGCATCCCTTCTGACTGAGTTGAAAGCAAACTGCGGCAGGCCAGGACTCGACCCTACGAACCTTGTACCGCCTCCAGAGACAGCACAATGTACGTATTACCTTACCACTACGCCACTGATAATTCAAGAAACAAGCACACAGCACGTAGCTATGTGTTCGCCTTGGCCCAAGGACACTCGTGGCAGTGGTATCTTAAGGTCGAGTCCTGGCCTGCGGCAGGCCAGGGCTAATGTTTAATATATATAATATATATATATATATATATATATATATATATATATATATATATATATATATATATTTATATATATATATATATATATATGCAAAACAACCACTCTGAAAGAATAGAGAAATTCCAAGCGCTTTCGTGACTACTCACATTATCCTTGATAATGTGAATAGTCACGAAAGCGCTTGGAATTTCTCTATTCTTTCAGAGTGGTTGATTTGCATATTCTGAAATCACCTGTTTACTGTGATCTTATTGCATATATATATATATATTATATATATATATATATATATATATATATATATATTTTATATATATATTATTTTATATATATATATTAACAAATTGGCCGTCTCCTACCGGGGCAGGGTGACCCAAAAAGAAAGAAAATTCCCAAAAAGAAAATACTTTCATCATCATTCAACAAATTCACCTCACTCATACATAATCACTGTTTTTGCAGAGGTGCCCAGAACACAACAGTTCGGAAGCATATACGTATAAAGATACACAGCATATCCCTCCAAACTGCCAATATCTCAAACCCCTCCTTTAAAGTGCAGGCAATATACTTCCCATCTCCAGTACTCAAGTCCGGATATATAAAAACCGGTTTCCCTGAATCGATTCACTAAATATTACCCTGTTCACACTCCAACAGATCGTCAGGTCCCAAATACCATTCGTCTCCATTCACTCTTATCTAACACGCGCACGCATGCTTGCTGGAAGTTCAAGCCCCTCGCCCACAAAACCTCCTTTACCCCCTCCCTCCAACCTTTCCGAGGGCGACCCCTACCCTGCCTTCCTTCCCCTACAGATTTATACGCTCTCCATGTCATTCTACTTTGATTCATTCTCTCTAAATGACCAAACCACCTCAACAACCCCTCTTCAGCCCTCTGACAATACTTTTATTAACTCCACACTTTCTCCTAATTTCAAACTTCGAATTCTCTGCATAATATTTACACCACACATTGCCCTTAGACAGGACATCTGCACCGCCTCCAACCGCCTTCTCGCTGCAGCATTTACAATCAAAGCTTCACACCCATATGAGAGTGTTGGTACCATTATACTTCTATACATTCCCTTCTTTGCCTCCATAGATAATGGTTTTGTTTCCATATATACCTCAATGCACCACTCACCTTTTTTCCTTCATCAATTCTATGGTTAACCTCATCCTTCATACATCCATCCGCTGACACGTCAACTCCCAAATATCTGAAAACATTCACTTCTTCCATACTCCTCCTCTCCAATTTGATATGAAATTTTTCCTTATCTAAATCATTTGATACCCACATCACCTTACTCTTTTCTATGTTCACTTTCAACTTTCTACCTTTACACACTATCCCAAACTCGTCCACTAACCTTTGCAACTTTTCTTCAGAATCTTCCATAAGCACAGTATCATCAGCAAAAAATAACTGTGTCAATTCCCATTTTGTATTTGAATCCCCATAATTTAATCCCACCCCTCTCCCAACACCCTAGCATTAGACAACCATGGTGACATTACACATCCCTGCCTAAGACCTACTTTTACCGAGAAGTAGTCTCCCTCTCTTCTACACACCCTAACCTGAGCCTCACTATCCTCATAAAAACTCTTTGCAGCATTTAGTAACTTACCACCTATTCCATATACTTGCAACATCTGCCACATTGCTCCCCTATCCACTCTATCATATGCCTTTTCTAAATCCATAAATGCAATGAAAACTTCCCTACCTTTATCGAAATACTGTTCACATATATGCTTCAATGTAAACACTTGATCTACACATCACCTACCCACTCTAAAACCTCCTTGCTCATCCGCAATCCTACATTCTGTCTTGTCTCTAATTCTTTCAGTAATAACCCTACCATACACTTTTCCTGGTATACTCAGCAAACTTATTCCTCTACAATTTTTACGATCTATTTTGTCCCCTTTTCCTTTATATAAAGGAATTATACATGCTCTCTGCCAATCCCTAGGTACCTTCCCCCTTTTCATAGATTTATTAAACATAAATACCAACCATTCCAACACTATATTCCCCCTCCCCATGCTTTTAACATTGCTGTCATGATCCCGTCAGTGTATATATATATATATATATATATATATATATATATATATATATATATATATATATATATATATATATATTTATATTTTCCTTCCTGTGTTTGTTGCAGGCGTTGGATCGTGACCCTCCTGATGGTAAAGGTATGTGGAAAGTGACAGTTCTCGTCCGAGATGGCCAAGCATCCTCGCTCAGTGGGGAGAAAAGCCAGCGACTTTTTCCTTTTACCTCACGGAAGGCAATAGAAGCAAAGAGCAAGATTGACAGACAGACTCAGACACCGTACTTTGCCAGCTCACTCTCACGGGAACACCCAAAAACAAAGAAGAGGAGTAGGGCTGAGAGAGAGGTATATCCGCCATTCTCTAGAAATTCTCGTGAAACGTTGAGAGAAAATCAGATTGAGAAATTAGTTCGGCAGTCAAACACAGTCACCTCACTTCCCCGAAAGCTAAAGAGAAAGATGAAAGACGAAGAGAGTGGCGAAGAGAACCAGCCAGTAACTTTTCTTCCAGGTCACTTGCATACGTTACAAAAGCGGAGGAAGAGGAAGGAAAGTGAAAGCGAGAGAGGAGACACTCTCATGGGTCTATCAAAGAAGCATCGGGGAGCGACTGTAAATTATGGGAGTGAAAAAGAGCACCCTCAGTTATATACTCACATCAGACTTCCTAGACCATTCAGAAGAGAAATGGAACACCAAAATGAATCTCTCGTTGGTTCTTACCTCCATCATCATTCTACTTTCGTTCTACAACAACCACTTTACACAAACAATGGTAATAACATGAAATTTATTAATAAACGGTTTCCAAGTTCCTCTGGCACATTCACACACATGAAATATATAAGCAAATTGTCAAAAACATCATCTATTGTAAAAGATTTTAAAGTTGTCAACAAAAGTATAGAAGTACTAATGCATAATTCCTTTTCTCATGTAATCTCTTTCACGTCAGCTCAAAAATATGGAGATTCTACATCACTAAAGCAATCACCAATTTCGGATACTCCTGACAAACAGAACAGCCTGATACAAACTGATAGAGAATCATTGTCACTTTCTTTCCCTATTTTTTTGAGAACCGGAAGAAAGAAGAAAAGCAGATTTGCCACGGAACCCAGAAGCAATATTAGTTCTTTAAAAAGTACTAATTCGTCAACACATATTATGAATTTAAACGAAAGGAGTATTGAAAATGACTCCAAAATCACCAACAGCAGCACTTCTTTTGACCCCACTAAAAACGCGGATGTCGACAAAAAATTGATACCTAATAGTAATTACAACTCTAAAAGTCTATTACCTAAATCCTCAGATGTCTCGCTCAACAGTACCGACATTATGCACACATCCATCAAAGCCGCTCGGAACACCAGATCTATTAATTATTTAATGAATAACCACAGTAACAATGGAGCGTTAATCTCAGATCGTGGGGGATGTGAAGATGTCGATACTTTCATCTGGAGGCCTGAATATGGAAGCAGAGACGAAACTGTATATCCTGGAAGCGTGGATGATGGTGGTGATGGTGAAGGACTTGTACATATAGTGGAGACAGTAGTAACGGTGATGGTGAAGGATATCAATGACAATCCTCCAGTCTTCCCCAACACCACAATGTTTGGAGACGTACAGGAGAACGGGCCCATCGGTGAGTAACAGAGTTGCATGCATACTCTTGTATATATAAAATCTTGAGAAGTCTTAAGAAAAATTTAATGCCATCATAAATTTGCGAAAATTAATCTGAACATAATGAAAAACAAATGTATATTATATATTTTAAGTAAAGTTAAATTATTTTAAACTTATTTATGAGATTTTAACAGAATTTGGCTAAGGAAATTACTCTAGTTTACGTTATGTTAGTTGAGGTTTCTAAGTTAGGCATGGTCAAAAATATTTTTCATCATAATCGTCAATTAAAAAATTAATAAGTCAATCTGTGAAAAGAATTTGGGGAGAGTCCATTTATAAGAGCGTTCGGCCAATTAAAAAAGTTGAGCTTATTAGGCCCCATTTACCAGGGGGTCGCAACTACTACAGTTCAAAACTGCAAATATCCTCACCCCTCTTTCATGATTCATTTCCGGCTAACCGGTTTCCCTGAATCCTTTCATACATGTTACCTTGCTCACACTCCAATATCACGTCAGTTCATAGAAACCACTTACCTCCATTTACTCCTGTCAAAGAAGCTTGATGAATGTCTAAGCCCTTCACATACAAAATCTCCTCTATCACCTCATCTCCTTCTATTCTCTAAGCTACGAATTCTCTACATAATATTCACACCACACATTGCCCTTACACACAACGTCTCCGTTAACTCAGTTATGGAAACCGAAATCAAATAAGAGCTAGAACGGAGTATAATACAAATTCTAACCACACAACTGAGCGAAAAACTATTGTGAAGGACTTAGGAGTAATAATCTCAGAAGATCTCACCTTCAAAGATTACAACAGTGTCACTATCACATCTGTGAAGAAAATGATAGGATGCATAATGAGAACCTTTAATTCAAGGGATACCATAGCGAACTTAAATTTCCATAACTTCGTAGAAAATTAACATATTTTAAAGATGAAATTAATTTAGGAATTTTAGAACTAAATTGAATCATTTAGGGTGAAAATTGTTAAACCTAAATGATTCAGTTTGGTTCTGAAATTTCTAGTATAATAACATTTTAAAATATGTTGGTTTTATATTAAGGTATGTAAACTGAATTCAGCTTTAAATCATATAGATTAAAATATCTTTGTTGGGCTATTTAATATTTGTTGTAGATAGAATTTCATATGATACTTATAAAATTATGCTTCACTTTTACTGTAACAGTTTTTTTAAGATTCTGATGATGGATGAAGAACCATCCGAAACGTCAATAAACAAATGGGATATCCTTTAAAAATGGTATTCCGGTATTTTTTTCTACCCGACAAATCTTCTTTTGTACCTTCACCTGACATGTCTTCTAGTATACCTTCACCTGACATGTCTTCTAGTATACCTTCACCTGACATATGTTCTGATATTTTTACCTAACCTTTTCTCCTAATCTCTCATCTAGTTTTCTCCCATTTTCTCCCTTAGTCTATACTTGGCAATGGGCTAGCAGTGAATTATTCCTGCTATTGTATTCTGACTTATTTACTTTTCACTATTATTATTATTATTATTATTATTATTATTATTATTATTATTATTATTATTATTATTATTATTATTATCATTATTATCATTATTATTATTATTATTATTATTATTATTATTATTATTATTATTATTATTTCAACTATCTGGTTGCATCCCACCGAGGCAGGGTGACCCAAAAAGAATAACGAAAGCATTTCTTTTGAAATTTAGTAATTCATGCAGGAGAAGGGGTTAGCAGCCCTATGCGCCGACACTAGTCTCCTCTTACGACACGCATAGCTTACAGAGGAAGAATTCTTTTCCACATCCCGTGGAGATAAGAGGAAATAAAGAAGAACAAGAACTATTAGGAAAATAGAAGAAAACCCATATAGGTGTATAAATATATATGTGTACATGCATGTGTAGTGTTACCTAAATGTAAGTACAAGTAGTAAGATATACCTTTTATCCTATTATTATTATTATTATAATTATTATTATTATTATTATTATTATTATTATTATTATTATTATTATATAAATATTGGATCTTCGCACTTATCATCAATAATTTTGAATGTATGTGACAGATTTAAATTACTGGTAGCAGATAATATTATCTTTTATGTTCTGATATTAGAATCAGGTAGTGACAAGGTGTCGTCGTAAATTAACAGTAAGATTTGGAGTAGTTTTATTGAAGCCGGAGGGGAGAAAGATGTAAAGATTGATCTAAAATGCAAAATATAGCGCTCTTTCATTTTCATTAATCTACCTCTACCAATACATTCTTTGATCTGTACCTTAACAGTCATCTACCTCTACCTGCCCATTATCTTACCTGTACTCCTCTGTTTCAGATCTTTCTGTGGCAGTTATTGCTGCCTGGGATGCTGACGATGCTTCAGAGGGCACAAACGCCAAGCTCACTTATGCCATCGAGAAGAACGTGATCGATGAGCTTTCCGGTGAGGCCATCTTCTCGGTTCACCCAGAGACAGGGTTGGTGAGAACGGCACTCTGCTGCCTGGATCGAGAGACCACCCCGGAGTATTATATCCAAGTAGTGGCTGCCGATGGAGGTGGTCTCAAAGGTACGTGATCGAGGCATCGGATGTTAAATGCTATGAAGCTAATGATAAAGGCGCATGATAAAGGCTTCGATTTATGATGCAGAGAAGGGTTACCTTTGGCTTTGTGTCTCAATCTGAGGAGAATAGACTTAAGCGAAATGAGAGATATGCGTTTGTTTAAGTTCTGGTGCATGGAGAAAGTTTGAAAAGTGAGTGAGTAGTGGACTTTTAAAATATTGACTATCACACATTAACCAACTTTCAGGGAAGAGAGGAGACCCCTTTTGCGATCAGGTGATGTAAGAAAACCTACAAGTATGACTAGGGGTTGTTCTCGTGGTATAGAGCACCCGGCTCACTCAGGCACTCAAAAATGGCTACCCACTCAGTCTTGTTATGTCCTTCTGCTTATATATCTCCTATTTTTTTTTTAATTTGGTTGGCTCTTTATAAGTATATTTCAGTTCAGTGAGTATCATAAGAAGAGGTAAGTACAATAGATAACACTCGTGGTATAAAGATTTTTTTTATTCACCATGGTAGTAAAACAAGGCATTACTGTAAGATTTTTTAATGGTGACACAAAATCAACAGGCTTATAAAATAGATAATAAAACGTATATTGGCAAACTGTATTTAAAAATCTTTTTTTCATTCTTGGGTAATTACATATACTGTATGTACAGTTGAAACTAATGTACAGGATCATACAGGACTCTCTCTTTGTGCTGTCTACAAGGTTGACTGCAGACTATGCACACAGTATTGATGGAGATAATTTCTGTGAAGACACAATATCCGCAACGTCAGTCAGTTTTTCATCATTGTCGCTTTTCTAAGTTATTGACATTATAAACAGCTGTGATGAATGGTTTTGAAAACCGACAAGTTGAAGAATTGAGACACTTATGCAACACATGGGAATCTTTATTGAAGAAACGTTTCGCCACACAGTGGCTTCATCAGTCCAATACAAAGGAGAAATGGGTAAGGAGAGTAGAAGTATGAGGTAATCAGTCCCTCAACCTGGATTCGATGTGTTCAGTCCATCACTCTTGTAGTAAGTGCAGCATAGGGCCAGAGAGATGGCTTATATACTGCGGTGAGATGAGTTGAAGAAGGAGGAGGCGGGATCACAGTGGGACCTGCCACTAGTGTAAGTAGGTCGTCGTCCAACTTCATGGGATCTTGGTACAAAGACTTCAACGCTTGAACATCAAAATGGTATACAATACCGACAGGTTGTTAGGTAAGACACATATGCAACAGTTAGACAACTTTATAAAGTTGTCTAACTGTTGCATATGTGTCTTACCTAACAACCTGTCGGTATTGTATACCATTTTGATGTTCATCTTGTCAGACACTGCAACACATGGCATCTTGGTACAGAAAACACCTTGGACAAGCTTTTCAAGTGAGAAGTGTTGGATCTGAGAGGGACATGACCTCTCAGTGGCTACATTATCACTACTACTACTACTACTACTCTGCACCTCTCCTTCCGACAGTATTTAAGTCTCCGCACTGTCGCTTGATCTTCAGATAGTTCCTGACTATGGAACTGAACTTCTCCAGGCCGAGGGACTGACAACCTCAAATTCTACGACTACAAGGGTGATGGACTGATTACATCGTCTTCACATCTCTACTGTTCCTGCCTTCTTTCTGTATTCGACTGAAGAAGCCTACTGTGTAGGCGAAACGTTTCGGAATAAAGTTGTCTAACTGTTGCATATGTGTCTTACCTAACACTTCAACGCTTGCCCAAACTTTGGACGACGACCTACTTACACTAGTGGCAGGTCCCACTGTGATCCCGCCTCCTCCTCCCGCCTACTGTGTAGGCGAAACGTTTCGGAATAAAGTTGTCTAACTGTTGCATATGTGTCTTACCTAACAACTCATCTCACCGCAGTATATAAGCCATCTCTCTGGCCCTATGCTGCACTCCCTAGACAGGGAGCCAGTGCCGGGCCACCACTTGGAAGGGCCCGGGCCGGGAAAATACCGGCGAATCTTTAACAACAACCTATGCTGCACTTAAGAACATAAGAACATAAGAATGTAGGAACACTGCAGAAGGCCTACTGGCCCATACGAGGCAGGTCCTTATCAAAACGACATCTACCTAAAGCTACCCAAGAAATAACTCCCGTACCCCATGACACCAATCAAACCCAGCCCCTCCCACTCATATATTTGTCCAGTCTCTTCACCCCACTGGGAAGACTGTTCCACGCATCTACAACTCTGTTAGAAAACCAGTACTTACCTATGTCCTTTCTAAGTGATGGACTGAACACATCGAATCCAGGTTGAGGGACTGATTACCTCATACTTCTACTCTCCTTACCCATTTCTACTTTGTATTGGACTCATGAAGCCACTGTGTGGCGAAACGTTTCTTCAATAAAGATTCCCATGACTCAAGAAATCGTAATGACACGATTGCAAACAAACCATACCCCCGGCCGGGATTGAACCCGCGGTCATAGAGTCTCAAAACTCCAGCCCGTCGCGTTAGCCACTAGACCAGCTAGCCACCATATCCTTATCACTGTCAGTGATCTGACCAGAGTTACTCTTAAGTGGGCCTATCTTGTCTCTAATCTTACTTCTGTATACCTGAAAGAATCCTTTTGGGTTAGTCTTTGAATCCCTTGCGACCTTAGCCTCATAATCTCTTTTTGATTTTCTTATTCCTTTCTCTATTTCTCTCTTTAATTGAATATATTGATTTCTTAACTGCCCATCCCCTCTTTTGATACGCCTATATATGCCTCTCTTTTGACCAATGAGATGTTTATCCATTTGGGATCATTTTTGTTAGATCTAATTTCCTTACTCGGAACAAAAGTTGTCTGGGCAGCTAGAACTATGCTCTGAGAAACGTCATTTTGGCAACCAAGATCACCTACCTGACCCATAGTCAGGACATCCCAACTTAGCCCACCCAGGTAATTTTCCAGTCCCATGAAGTCGGCCAAGCGAAAATCTGGGACAGAGATTTGATTGCAGTTATCTGGGTAATTCCATGATATATTGAAACTAAGTGATTTGCGATCACTTTCCCCAAGTTCATCATTAACCTCAAGATTATTAATTAGTGAATCTTTGTTGGCAAGAACCAAGTCAAGCAGATTGTTTCCACTAGACTCAAGATTTCCTGTCATATTGTTCCAATCAATTTGTCTAAAGTTAAAATCTATTATCACAACAATTTCATATCTAGATGCCTTATGAATTTCGTCCCATAGCTTACTGCACTCCCTATCAAGGTTTGGGGGCCTATAAATCACACCCAAAATTAATTTGTCACGTCCCTCGAGAAACTGTAGCCAAACAGATTTCGTGTTCGATGTTTCTACTCTTATATCATGTCTAAGACAATTTAAATTTTCTCTGACATACATCGCCACTCCACCACCCTTCTTGTTGACCCTATCAGTGTGGAATAGTTTATAACCCTGTATGCTGCATTCAAAAGGCATTTCTCTATCTTTCAAGTTGAACCAGGTTTCTGTTATACCAATAATATCTATATTACCTACACTTGCAAGTAATCTTAGCTCATCTATTTTATTTCTAAGACTCCTACTATTTGTATAGTAAACCTTAAGGGAGCTAGTCAATGTAGCAGTTGTCTGCACTATTCACACAAGTACGAGGCATCTGCAAGAAGAAAACAACAAACAATTAGAAGATAAACAGAAAATTTATTCAATAGTTTGTCATTATAATACAGAGCATGATAGCTAAGCAGAAGTATTTATATCATTCAGTAGGAAAATAAAATTAATGTAATATGCCTCACATGCATATCAATACCTTGCTCAGTGAATATTTGCTACTAGTTTAAAAAGTGTTTCGCTAAGAAAACCACCTACCTTTTACCTCAAAATATAAACTTGACCATCCCAACCACCTTCTATGACTGCTGGAACAACAATGAAGGTCAGTTGAGACTGTGAATGTGGTAAGAAACACTGCCACAAGCCTGTTGGAACCTGTTGTGACAAGTAGGTGTATATTGAAAAGTAGAGCTAAAAAACAATTTTAACCTTGATATTCATTATCAGTGACCTAAAATTAGTTGGAAACTGCTACTCGGGTCTCGGAAGCATTTTGGTTGACCAGTGTAATCTTTGGAGAGAGGTGGGGAATGAGACTGTAAGGGTCATATGATCCGAATCCCATTTATTTTTATGATAGTGACTTGAAACATTTCAGAATGACCATTAATTATGATACTGTTGCTGATATTGCTTGCAAATTCCCTACTCAAGCTAGTGCCTTATACTACATGATAGTAAATGCATCGGGATGCGAGTCTGATCACATGTTACCTTACAAAGAGTTTGTAGAATGAAGAACAGTGGTGATCATTGACTTGCAAAGCGAAAGGCTAAAAATAAAAACTATCTGTCGGAAGAATAGTAATTTGCATATATTATCATTTGGCAGTGAGAAAATTAACAGGACACAGTATGTCTCCTGATCAGTGACATGGATGGCATTATAAATATAACTGCCAGTAAATCAGTAACTCTAAATTTGAGAGTGTATACATGAACTGTGAAAAAATTGAAAAATTCCTGAAAAATATTACGGACAAAAATGGAAATTACCTCGAATGTTTCGCATTGGACGAAATGGACTCTGGAACGAACAGAATCCGAGGAATGACTAATTTTCATCGTAAATATTTTACAATCCTATTAAAGTGGAATGGGCCATTGCTTACCATTTATATGAATAAAAAAGACTAATGTTCTTGGGCATTTTTGCAATAAGCTCTGAGACACATCCATTCAAGTTAAAGGAATTTATAGAAAGACTTGAGAAAAGAGAAGTAAATGGAATAAATGGAAGATAACAACATGATAATTCATTAAGAATTAACAAATATATTTACAGAAAAATCTACATGAAGTTTAGAATTCTTTCATGCAAAAAAAAAAACATTCTCTAATAATCAGTATTCACAAAGGAACTATAAAAACTAGTTTGATATGTTA